AAGTATGTTATCAGTTATACTATCACCACAAAAGTAATGTTATCAGTTATACTATCACCACATGTTTGCAAGTGTTAATTTTTGATTTTATTGAAAAATTATTAAAAAAAATTATTTTATTTTAATAAAAAAATTTTTCTAAAAAATTATTTTGTTTTAATAAAAAAATTTACTAAAAATTATTTCTTTTAATAAAAGAATAGATTATTTGGTTTTATTTTGTTTTCCAGTTTCTAATATTAGAAATTAAAAGTTTCCAAGATTCAAAACTTTTTCAACGTCAAAAGTAAAGTGATCATTTTAATTTCTAATAAAAAAGAAAAATTCAAAATTTCAAAAATGATAAAATATCCATTTTATAGGCAATAATGAATTTTTCATATTACATGACAGTTAATAAAATGGATGAAGCATTTAAAGCTATTAAATTTATTAAAAGGTTTGAATTTTATCAAATAATTTTTAAATATTTTAATTTCTTACACCATCCAATTTAATTAATTTCATCATTAATTGTTTTTTTTTTTTTTTGCTAATTTATTCATTATGTATTATTATTTCAGTGAAAATGCTTGGGAACATATGGCGCATATGTGCGTCAAAACGCGACGTCTTGATGTCGCCTTGCTATGTCTCGGAAATATGGGACATGCATGTGGTGTACGAGCTTTAAAAAAGTCAATGCAAAATAATGATCCACTTGATGTACAAGTAGCTATCTTAGCTATTCAACTAGGCTTACTTGTAAGTTTTAAGCCTAAAAGAATATGCCAAAAAAAAAAAAAAAAACAATAAAAAACGTTTATATTTTATCATTTCGTTTAAAATTATTCCATGAATTTATAAAAGAATTTATTTGATGAAAGAAATTTTAGGATGAAGCACAAGCACTTTTTACTAGTTGTGGTCGATATGATTTAGTCAATCGTCTTTTGCAAACACGTAATCGTTGGGATGAAGTTTGTCTTTAAAAGAATTTTAAGAAAAAAAAAAAAGAATTATCATTTTTGAAGTTTACCCTCAAATTACATCCTAAATTTAATTGGAATCAATAAAATTTCCATAATTTTAGGCATTTGAAATTGCTGAAAAGTATGATCGAATACATTTACGGAATACATATTACAATTATGCAAATTATCTTGAATCGCTTAATTTAACTGATGCTGCAATTGAAAAGTAAAATTTTCAAATTTCAACCTATCAATTTACAAATAGTATGTATTAAATTTGAAAGTTACAATTCAAAACAAAAAAAAAAAAGAGTTTTTAGCTATGAGAAATCAGGTACGCATTGTTTCGAAGTACCACGAATGCTATTTGATCATCCTAAAATGCTTGAAGCATATGTCAAGAAAACGAAACATCCGTATGTTTACATAATTATTTATAAAATAATATTGTGGGAGAGGAAAAAAAGAAAAAAAAAAAAGAAGGAGATAAAAATTAATAATTTCGATTTATGTCTTAATTAGACCAATTAATTCATTATGAGGATATTATCAGATAGAATATCTATTAACTTATCATTAATCATTATTGCTGCTCTAAAAACTGATAATTAATTAAAGTTAAATATCATAGAGGTATACAAAAATGGTGGGCTCAATATATGGAAAGCAAAGGTGATGTAAATGCAGCACGTTTGTATTATCAATATGCTAATGATTATTTATCAGTTGTTCGTTTACTTTGTCGTAGTAATAATATAGATGAGGTAAGTTATGTGTGAAATTTCATTCGCTAAATTTAAATTTGGTTTAATGTCTAGCATAAATTTGAAATTTCAAAATTTTATGACAATATATGATTTGAAAAAAAAAGAGAAAATTTATTAAGTAAAAAAAAGAAAAATGTGATAATTTTTGAAAAATTTGAAAAGAAATAGAATCTAAAGGTTATTAGAATTCAATTTTTAAAATTTTCAACAAAATTTTCACAATTATGCTTAACTTGGAATAAATATATCTTAATTGATTTTATCTTAATTAAATAATTTTCAACAAATTTTTTATTACTAAGCTTACCCTTGAATAAGTGTATCTTAATTAATTTTATCTTAATTGAATATTTTTCGCCAAAAATTTCACAATTATGCTTAACCTTGAATAAATATACCTTAATTAATTTTATCATAATTAAATAATTTTTACAATTAAGCTTAACCTTGAATAAATATACCTTAATTAATTTTATCATAATTAAATAATTTTCAACAAATTTTTCACAATTAAGCTTAATCTTAAATAAATATATCTTTTTTTTTTTTTTTTTTTAATATAGTAATCATTTCATTACAGATTACTTTCAGGCAGTTGAGATGGCGAATAGTAGTGGTGATAAGGCAGCTTGTTATCATTTGGGACAATATTTTGAAGCACTTGGTGATCCAAATATGGCGGTAATGTTCTTTACAAAAGCACATGCATGCAGAAATGCATTACGTCTTGCTAAAGTATTCCCTTATTTGCTCTATTAATTCATAATTTACCGTATATTAATTTAATTAAACGTTAAATTTTAAATGGATTTAATTATTCAATAAAATATATTGATATTAACCAATATGATTACAGTATTTCAGTCTATTTTTCTAATTTTTCTTTTTTTTTGCATTAAATATTTATGGTAAAAAAGTCAATTTTCAATTAAATTAAATTAAATTTAAATTGAAAAAAAATTTACATAATATCATTTAGGAAAATAATATGAAAGATAAAATTGCTAATCTAGCTTTAATGGCTGGTGGAAATGAATTAGTTGAAGCAGCACAATATTATGAAAATATACCGGGACAAGCTGATAAAGCTGTCATGTTATATCATAAGGTAAATTAGTTGTTAAACAAATGATTTTGAAAAAAAAAATTAAAATCTTAATTCAATTTTAAAAATTTGTATCTTTGAAATTTGTCATATGTTTAATTTTATTTATGTTATATTATAATTTTCTCCATTATTATAAAAAATTTTAAAATATAGAAAAAAAGGAGAAAAACAGAAAAGTTATCAATTTTTTCTTTTTTTTTTTTTTTTTAGGCTGGTATGATTAGTCGAGCACTTGATTTAGCATTTCGTACCGAACAATTTAGTGCATTAGATTTAATCACCAATGAATTGGATGAAAATTCGGATCCACGAATACTTGAACGAGCTGCGGAATTTTTCAAAAATAATCAACAATATAATAAAGCTGTCCAACTTTTAGCTTATTCGAAAAAGGTACGTGTAATAAAATAAATGCCAGATATGAGAAAATGTTGAAAAAAAAAAAAAAGAAATTATAAAATTTATGAAATAACCCTTTCCTTTACAAGTTAGAATAGTTTTTGAAATATTAATTATTTGCAGTATTCAGAAGCAATTGATCTATGCAAACAAAGAAATGTTCCAATGAGCGAAGCACTAGCTGAAGCATTAACACCTTCAAAAGGTAATAATTAATTAAATAATAAACTTAGGATTGATACTTGGTTTATTTTGAGATGAAATCTCAATCAATTGTGAATGAATAAATTTTCAACTGATTAGATTTGTTTCAATATAAACTTGAACTAATTACATATTTGACTGAAGTACTAACTAAATTTGACATAATTAAATAAAATTTAGGGTAACTTTGAAGAAATTTTAAGATGGAATATTGTTTTTGCATGAACCAGGAAGATTATGATAATCAAAAAAAACAAGAATTTGCTACATTTTTGAGTAATTAATAATTTAGAAGAAATATCGAATGATGCTGATCGGATAAAGCTTTTGGAATCAGTAGCCAAATGTTGCGTACAACAACGTAATTATCATCTTGCAGCAAAAAAATACACACAAGCCGGAAATAAGTTGGATGTAAACTTTTTCTTTTTCCATTTCCTTCAAAAATAATAGAATAGCATTTGATTGATATTACATTAATAAGTCAAGTTTTTAACTTCCACTACACACAATATGTGCTATTAACTGAATACGATTGAAAATTTTTAATTATTGAGAATTGAGAAATTCTTTTTCTTCAAATTGAGAGTAGTGAAGAATTTCTCCGGTAATAAAAACTTCCTGTAGAAAGTATCGATCCTTTGCATTTTTTCTCCTAAAAAAAAAAAGTATTAAAATAAAATTCGAGAAATTAACCATGTGAACATAAGCATTACTGAATGAATTGTTGACAAATAGTAGTAAATTAAACAGATTTTTCAGCTCTAGTATTTGGATTCAAATTATTTCATCATATTTTAGGCTATGCGATCATTGGTTAAATCAGGTGACACTGGAAGGATTGTATTTTTTGCGACAGCAGCAAGAAAAAAAGAAATTTATATTCTAGCAGCTAATTATTTACAAACATTAAATTGGAAGGAAGATGGTGACCTGATGAAACAAATTGAATCATTTTATAATAAAGCTAATGCATATGAACATTTATCGAGCTTCTATGAAGCTTGTGCGCAGGTAATCTTATTAACCTGATAAATTTAATTTAAATTATTGCATGTGGAGAAATGTGTAGTCGCTCAGAAAGTTTTCTTGAGATAGACCGAAAAAATAAAGCAACTATAGAATTGTATTGATCAGAAACAAAATTGAGAAAATTATTAAGGAAACGAATGACGGAAAAACGAAAAAATTACATTCAGAAATGTAATTTTTTGATGATATCAAATGTTGAGAAATTTTGTTGATATTTTCATAACCTACCTGTAAAGTGAAAGATAGACTAATACCAGAAATGATCAGTGATATATGATATTTTAAAATTTATCTATATATATATTATATGATGATGAATAAAAATGAAAATGAGTTAAATTCATTTCAGGTTGAAATTGATGATTATCGTGATTATAATAAAGCAGTCGATGCATTTAATGAAGCATTACGTTGTATTACAAAAGCATTACAAAACAATCCTAAAAATGAAGAATATTTAACGGAAAAACAAACCGAATTATATCAGGCTATTGGAAATCTTAAGGAATTTATTCAAATTAAAACGTAAAATCAAAGAATTTTTCAAGATTTAAATAAAAACTTGAGCTTATTCTCTTTTTTCTTTTTCTTTTTAAGTTCATCTATGTGAAACATTCAAAATCCAACACTTTCAGTGTTTACGAATTGGATCCCACTGATGCAATCCGGCAATTAGAAGCACTTGCAGATGATAAACAAGCCTGCAAAAATATACGGATTGGTGATATTTATGCTGTGATGATTGCATACAATATCCATAAGACAAACTACAAAAAAGTTCATCTTTAAAATTGCAAGAAATTTAGACAGCTATTTGTCTTTTTCTTTAATCCTAGCAACTTTAAAAAATAGAATTTTTTTTGTAGGATTTCTTTTGCAGTTTTATTAGCTTTCAGGCTTACTCATTGATACAACAATTGAAAGAACGTGAGCCACATATCAAGTTGAGTCATTATATCAGCAAAGAAGTACAAGATGTTATTCGTGATGAGTTAAAACTACCAAGTTTCATTAATGATGACAAAAATGGGTCAGAAGCCGATGAAGAACAACGACTGGATGATGAAGTGGATTATAGCTATGCAATGAAGCGACATTTTCAACGAGACAGTAAAACATTCGATGAAGAGGACATTGAGGATACTTTGAAGTAATGAAAAAATTTCATAAACTTGATGTGATTTTCATATAGTTGATCAATAAAAGTATTTCTAGTTTCAAAAGGAATAATTATTCATGTTTCTGACATATTTCTAGTATTTGGGTTACTTTTAAGCAATCCTATGCTTTTGTTTTTCCAATATTTTTGTGAATATATTATCGCCTGTGAAATCATTAAATTGATAAAAAACAATCATGCTTTCAGAAATCAATTTCAAATTATTGCAGGTTATGTAGATTCATTTTTTTTACTCAAAACAGAAGTTATAGCAATCAATGAATTTTTACCAACGAGAAATAGATTGATGCATTTCTTTTAGTATAGGAATCTGTCATTCACATTTCGGTTGTTACTTGAAAAGAAGTCAGTCGAAGGGCAAATCGTCAGAATATTGATTTAGGTCAAACAATCAATTAAATGTTTGTTAATGGTGGAAATCAAGTAATTACCTCTCAAGTAATTAACTCTTCTCCAACCTGAGCAATTCAGGCTTAAATAGTCCTCGAAGTTTCTGATGTTCGCACAAGAAACATATTCTAAACATCCTCATAACAACAATACTCCAAAATGCAATATTGTCAATGCAATTTCTTTCAAGCACTAATCTTACTAATTTTACTATCTTCTAAAAGACAATATTCAATGTTAAGCAAAGTTATTAACAAATCCCGGGAATGAAATATGCTGAAATGGGACAAATCAAATTGACTAAAAATAAATTTAAAATTTTGCATGACAATAATTTCTGGCAGTTTACAAAGGCATTTATTTTCGATGTAACATTTGTACTTTCTCATAGAGACAACAAATAATATTTCAGTGATATTTGACGGCGTATAAATTATTGACGGAGATAAATCAGCAAGACAACATGTTCACTTTTTTTTTTGGAAGAGTAACAAAACGATACTTAGTTAGATTGAAGATATCTGTTTCTCTGTGTACATTATACATTCAAATTACCGAAGAAATTATAAGTTATCGAAAAAATTGCAAACAAATTGCATCGAAATTCTTGTCTATTTTTTTTTATCTCTGTCGATATATCTTTTTCTGCCTACATATTTTTAAGCTCTCTTACTTCCCACTATCCATAAATGGCTTTAATTTAAAATTGGTTTGTATCGATGATTGTAAAATTACGATTAATGGTTTGTTATTTTTCAATCAATCAAAAAAAATTGCTTGATTTCTTCATTCATAATATGAAATTGATGCTTCAAATTGATGCTGACAGAGTAGCAATTTGAAGTTATGAATTGCATTAAACCAAAAATCACCATGACGACACATGAGCAACGCTATTAGATTGGAGAAATTCAAGAAATGCAAATACACGCAAACGATTATAACGGTCCGTGACTTTGTGTTAGGATCCAGTATGAAAAATATATTCCATTATTAATGGTACCAATGTAAAAGAGCAAAAATTCAAATTACAGAATAGAAATGTATGTAAAACAGTAACTACGATAGAAATTACTACTAATAGTTGGACACAAAAGAAATCATATATGTAAAACTTATGCTATTGAATTTATTGCATGATTATCAAATTAGAGGATTTTACGATAGTATTTTGTTGTTGGGATGAAATGCAACATTACTTGAAGCGTTGAAAATTTTATTTTACTTTTTTTTTCGTATTAAATCATTTATGGATGAAGTATTTTAAATAAGATAATTTTTATGCTACAAATTTATAATACAAATATTTTGATTGTTTCAACATATCACAAAATTTTCTCGATTTTTCCCAAAGTAGCGAATGATAAGATTACATTCGGATAAGTCGTACTTGTGTGATATTTTTCAATATCAAGTAATTGTGTACATTCTTGCTGTAAGATGTTAACAGGTATTTTTAAAGTTGGAAATAAATTCTAATAAATGTCATGCTTTACCGAAATCATTGAATGGCGATATAGCATGACAAAATTTTCAATGCCATATTTTCTCAGGATAACGAATGTAGTGACAATAAAAACATTCAGCATTGAAGCATTGGCAGCGAACAGTAATAATATTTCATGAAAATGAGATAAATATAGATATTATATCTTAGCAAAAGTTATTTTCTCAGTAGATTTTAGAAATATTTAATAACTCTTTTAAATTCAACTCTTATTGTTGTTTTTTTTTTATTCGTTTCTATTTCATAAATCTTAAAAATATTTTCCCATTGGAAATACAATATATTTAAAATAGAAAAAAAAAATTTTATTTGCATGTGAAAATTATTCTTTTCATATGTGAATTCACTTATAAAAACAATTAGTGCAATATAAATATGAGTAAATACTTTTGTTAGTCATAATTTTCACTGTCACGCATTAATGCATATTATAATTTAAGTGAAATAATATTAATGAATGGCATTTGGCAATTTGAAAACAAATGAACTCCTCATCATCATTTAAAGCATTCATTTAACTTTTTTTTGTTTGAGCAAAATAATACAACGATGATTAGTTTAAGAGCCTAATTAAACATATTCATTATTTAAAATATAAAATATCCATAAATTATTTAAAAAATTTAAGTTTTTTAAAACAAAATTTTATTACATTCCAAATTCTTACCATATAAATTATTATATAATTTAACATAAATCCTTACATTATTTACTCTTCATATACTTCCAAGCAATCTTGCTTTGAATGAAATTTTATTCGAAACCAATTTAAATCGGGAATTCGTAGAAATTAAATCATTGTTTTATCTTCTTTTTTTTTTTTTTGTAGACCTATATTGTTCTAAATTAAGACATTTTCATGCGTTTTGTGAAGATGCGTGAATACTTTTAATGTTTTCTAGTAACTCTAAATTTGAAATACTTTAATATTTACTGGAATTAAGAATGTTGTTGCCTTGTACTTTGATAGTTTTAGTATCAAAAATCATATTAATGTTAAATGAATTTACTGCAATATTTCACATATATTTGGAAATTCTATACGAACAAGTAGAATGCTTAAGAAAAAAAGCCTATATAGTTTATCGCCGGGAGAATATTTTAATAGTTGGCATTATTATTTCAGGAGATATTTATTTGCCTTGTTTTACCGTTTCTTTTAGTTATTTTAAAGACTACTTGTGCCACCTCATCTTTTTATAACAATGGATCTTGCTATTGGCCAAATGACTGAAAATGTGACCAGCACTGTATCGAAAGGAAAGTTACCCCTATCATATGGCGATTATTTTTTACGTACGTATGCGTATTTGATTCTCGGTACAATACTCATAATGATCAACATCCCCGTCTTCCTGCTTGTGATAACTCATAAAGCACTCAGGTCAACCGATTCATCTCATAAAGATACTGTGAAAATAAGCATTGAACATAGTTTGGTAGAAAGCCTGCTTCAAATAAGAAAGAAACATTTCAAACTATCATTTTAAAACAGTGTACAGATATCATTTGAAGAAGCTTTTATATTTTCAGGAAATCCTACTTGATTCTTGCAACTGTATTCCTCAATAGTGGATTTACTGGAATCAGTTCGATACTACTTGGAATAAAACGATTAATTGATACTGCTAATGGGGAACAGTTTATCGATCATCATAAATGTGTGATTAATGTTAGTTTATTTTTTCAAAATTATTCGCACTAGCCTAATATTCTATGAAATTAAATTGAAACATTACAAATACAATAAATCTTGAAAAAAAAAAAGGCAAGAAAGCGATACGGAACATTAATAGATCTACTGCATACAATGGGGAAAAGCATTCCGAACAAATACAACTTGAATCGATCAACAAATTTGTTACCAATCTAACAAATGAAATTTTCAGATACCCATCTTTCTTTTCACAGCGGAATTTCTAAGCGGATGGAGTTTGCTGATGAACAGCGCGGAAAGACTTTCTGTTGTTGCATTCCCAATATATTACTATACTCATAACATGCACATAAATTACTCATTAATTGCTACGCATTATGGGATTACTGTCACTGCGGTAACTACTGCTGTCGTTGCAAGTTTAATTGAACCATCTCGACGCATATCTAATTTTTGCCTGTAAGCAACGATAATTTGTTTCAATCAAATGGATATTTTGTCTCCAACTGCCTATTTTGTCATATTAAACAATGTATTACTTTCAAGATTACAACAAGAATCAAAAACGATCTATGTTTAACTGGATGTATAATGATATTAAATGATTACTTCCGAAATCTACAATAATCTTGCAGGCTGAATAAAGCGTATTCACCTCGTTACTATCAAGCGTTATTACTGCTATCCTCTTCAGCTTCAATGCTAAGCGTTATCCTTATGGTTGTTGTAGTTGTCAACCTCAGAAGGTAAAGTTTTTAGAAATTTCTGTCCCTAAAAACTAAAAACTTTTGTTATCATTCATTGATGATTGCTATATTATAATGTTCACTCTTTTGTTTCTTAAGTAATGTCTGGATTCAATGCTCCTGTCGCACAAGCTAATTTGTTGACTCCGTTTTTTAGCGATACAAGTTTATTCGGGGTGTAATATTTCCTTGCACAATATTACTAGTTAGCAACAAAAAGATTATATATACATAATACGCGGCAAATATGTAAGCAGTGATAAATGAATTATACAATAATAAACAAGCAATATGACCAATTAACAAATTCCTTGTCGTTGCCTTCGATATTAGTTGACTGTCGGTTTGTTGATAGGTTGTGTAATGGTTTAACACACAGGAATTCTCCTTCATTGATCTGGGGATATGTTGCAGGGAATACATTTAGCGAAAGGAAGGATTATGGTAGCACATTGTTCCCCAATCAGCTTTTGTATGTTCTATCTGAGTTATCATGGAGGTATGGTTGCCCTTATCATCGTCCATTCTGCAGCCATGAATAGAAGTTAAGACTTGGTGACATTCCTACCATTATTCACTTATATCCTCTTTGGCTTAATTTTATAGGATTCCATCATCCTTTCTTAATAGATATTGTGGGAATTATACGTGAACGTAATTTTAATTTCGGTAATTCGACAACTCCAACCACGAAATTTTTGTAATTTTGGATGAGGATTTGAGACTGCTTAGTAATGGGCTACCGCGCAGTACAACAAATCTGAATAGTATTATTCGCAAATACAAATTGACAAAACAAAACAATCGTAAGCTTTGCGTAACAGCAGATGAATGAGGTAATTGTAACCAAAAAAGCGGGCTGAGGTAATTACAACCAAAAAATTGTGTATTAATTTTGAGAAATGTAGTATGAACAAATATATATCTGTGTAAAATGAATGTTCAGTGAATATATCTATTCACGCCGTTTACGTATGCTAGAAGAGTGGCAAACTTCAATAAATGACAAATGCAAAATATGAATGGAATCTTAATCGTATCATTACCCTCAGGAATTTCGGTGCGCAGTTCCTTTCAAACAATTCACATAACCGCAATCTGTCACGTTTTCTCAAAAATCAAAAACGATACACTCAAACGGCACTAATCTCTTGTTGTTTTACATTTGGTACGTTCCTACATTCGGATTTCTATGAAGATTTCTAATGAAGACTATGTTCTTTCCGATACGAGATATTTCTTGTGGTTTTTGAACATAAGTTTGATTTATGATTTCTTAGCGCCCATATATGCAAAAAGTTGGAAAGATCGTACATGAATCTTCCACATATCTAGCATTAGATTTTACAAGTGATTTCCCGTTTTTATTCCACACTCTCATTTTTACAGTTTTTGTCGTAGTATCGGCAATGATCGAACATAATTGCGATGCGGACGATTCTACAGCGTCGTATATCATTGTGATGATTTGCGTGTATACACGTCTGCTGAATTCCTTCAATTTGGTGACATTATTTTTGTGTCGTCAAAAAGATTTCCAGCGTACTGCAATCCAATGTTTCAAATACTTACTATATGGACAGAAACATACCCAGCCAGTCGTAACTGTTGCAAACCATACCGTTCTCTAATTCACTGGGATGGATTTATTGATTATTAAACATATTTGGTCGTATTTGATTTGATTATTAGATGTATTTGATCATTAAACGATCAGCAACAATTTTGTACTATTAAGTACTTGATTTTTCTTCTTTTTTTTTGTAAAGATTATCGTATCGTTTTTTGTAAAGATTATCGTGATTATAAGATTTCCTTTGATACTGTAATATATTACATATGTATCACTCAAAAAAAAGCCCTGCTGAATATCATAAGATCTCAAAATTACAATTAAATTCAGCTATCAATTATTAAACGGAAAGCAATGAAGAAATCATCTGCTGCTAATTATCTGCTAAGTTTAACGACCAGTCTCATATTCCAGGATTCGTTTGCTATTTAACCAATAACTTCTGTCGCCGATTTTCTTCAGTCGTAACAAAAACTGAGGGTTCTTTCTGCCTCTTTAGTTGATAGTACCTCAAACTTGGGTAAAATTAAACCTTTTATTACGATATTGATACAACAAATTAATAACGAATATACAACAAAAAAAAAATCACGTCCGATTTCTTATATCCAACCGACCTCAATGAAACATATTTAAAAAAATGGATTAATGTGCAGGACCCTCCGTTTCTTCGACTAGGACAGTCCTTGTACCGTTTTATGATTACAAGATTAGCACCCTTATGGCTTTCAAAAAAAAAGGGAGACTATTGTCCCTTTGTTTCTACTCGCGATATCAGCGACACTTCCGAGGCGAACGTGGTCTACACCTTATCTTCCAAAGGATAGAGGTGTCCCACTGCTCTCACTAGCTCTTTTCGGTTAGTTATTCTTACAACCGCTGATCGACATATACCATCTTTGCCCCTTATGAGTCTGTCGATTCTTCCCATTCCCCAGGTATTTCTGGGACAGTCTCCTTTCAACGACACCAGCTCATCAATTTCAGGTTCTCGTTGAATACGGCTGCGAGGCCTTCGGTGTTTGCGTTGAGCTCGTTTTCTTAGCTCTTCTAGGTATTCTCGCCATATTTTCCATAGATGATTAAGTCTCTTGCATGTGGTCATGTTTTGATGTTTCAATTCCTTCGTTTGTAAATTTTCTTCCCCGCATATCGTCTTGTCCCTGCGGTAAGCCCTTCTGTTAAATTTTCTCCTCGAGCTGAGCCTGAATTCAAGAAATCCCCAGGTCTTAACACTAAACCTATTTCTTCCAGGTCCACCAAGGGTCTTTCATTGCTAATCGCCTCAAGTTCAGTGACTAAAGTTATCAATTCTCCATTGTTAAGAAGCTTTGGGCCGATGGCTTTTCTTAGAGATCCTTTAACTACTCCAACCATTCTTTCGTAAACGCCGCCCTGCCAGGGAGCACCTGGAGTAATGAATCCCCACTTCATTGTTTCGTTTTCCGCTGTAATTAATTCTACAAGTACTTTGGAAGCTGCTATAAGGTTCTTGGCATTATCGGAAATTATGTGTTGTGGTTGTTTTCTTCGGCTTATAAATCCTCGGAATGCCTGTACAAATTGTTCAGTAGACATAGTTTCCATTAGTTTGAGATGCACAGCTCGAGTGGCTAAACAGGTAAACAGAGCCACCCATCGTTTGGCCTTGACATGATCCTCCTTTATTAGAACTGGACCAAACAGGTCTAAACCAACTGTTTCAAACAGTTCGTTCCTACAACTCTAGCAACAGGATAAGGAGGAAAGTGTGGTTTCTCAAATGGCGTAGCAAATATTACAAATATTTCTCAAAATTCTCTTAATATATGACCGCCCATGCGAGGTCCAATACCTTTGTCTCATCATGCTGCAGGTGTAGTGTACGCTCGCATGAAATAATTTCTTATGGTAATGCTTCACGATCAGTTCTGCTATCTTTCCTCTGTTGATGAAACACGGAAAATCCCCAATTCGAAGCATAGCTTTTCTAAATCTTCCAACACTTCTCCAGATTCCATTCCGGTCTTTTCTTAAATCCCAGTGTTCGATTTACCTTTGCATTATGCTTAACTGTGCCATCTTGACTATCAATTCTATTATCTTATCATACTCCTTAGATGCAAAATTCTCCCTAGAGAACTCTTCAAATTTCTTATTTTCTCCTTTGATACCTTCGCAAGTAGTCATAAGAGTATAACATTGTTCTTATCAGCTTAAACAGTGATGAGAATCGTGCCTCATCTATTAATGCCGTAACTTGATTTGATGCATCACTTCTTCTTTCATCAGTCCCATGGCCACACATGCACTCGTGATGTTTCCTTTTATAACTTTATCCTCGGGCCATTTTCTTTTGACTCCCATAACCATGATGGACCATTCCACCAAAACGAATTGTCTTTAAGTTTACCTGGGAGAAGTTGTCGTGAAGCTTGGTGTGCTGGATTACTTCCTGATCTTACATGATGGAATTCAATTTCTTCTTAACAATTTTGTTTGAGACATATTGGATCCTACCGGCGGTTTTCTTAACCAATGCAGGACACAAGCGCTATCCATCCATAAATATGTTTTTTTCACATCGAATTATTCTTACTACATTATCAACGAATTGTCAATATCATTATCAACAAATTAACTGCAATAACTCCATCATTAATTAATAATCACTAGATATGCATAAGTTGATTGTATTACGACTGATTATCATAAAATTAGTGCTATTTATTCGTCAATTCCTATTTCACTCATAAACTGCTGCCATTAACTCATTCTATTCTACTAAAACCTACATGCAACAAGTGACTGTAAGTGACTGTAAAGCAGCCACTATAAGGAAGAAAGCATGTATTGTAAATGCAATTGAACAGAGGATAGAAATCAAGTAGAAATTATCATAAGATTTATTAAGTGAAACCGCATATGTAAAATTAATATGCAAAATTATATGTAGAAATTATATGCAAAAGTTTTAAAACAATGAACGAAAAACAAGCAAATAACAAAGGAAATAATGAAGAAAATATACAATTAATTAATTAACAATGGAATAAACGAAGCAAAAATTGTTGCAAAAGTTTTGTCATGAAAGGATGCAAATGGAAAATGTTATTGAAAAATGAAAGATTTACTTGTGTTGAAAAAGTAATACTGTAAAGTTTGAATCTTTTGTGTTCCAATTATAAGCAGCGAATTCGGTGGAACGATTTCATTAAACCAACGAAATAACCTTAAGAACAATAACTAATACACAATAGAAATGACAAAAGGAAATAATGCGTTGTCAAGAATGTTGTAACCTAACTTGATACATTCGATGACTGAAACTATGAAGGGAAGAATTTAGCAGATATTTGAAATGGATGAAGTGATATCTAGAAAGGATGATCTCGAAGCGAGATATTAAATCCTTATATTAGCAGATAAGTGCATGGAGTTTACAGTGTTCACAAGGGATATATATACATAATTATATAAATGTGATTACAGGTGAACAATAGGTGAATAACATTTACAACACAAGGTCCAGAACGGTACATTAATTGTATACTGTTACAATGGCCTTTTTATTTATTCCGTATATAGATAGTTAATATAGACGAACAGTAAAGGATAAGATTTAAATATTACAAATCAATAAGTGACAACTACATTGTACAAAACCTTCGTGTTTCTTGACAAAAATTGAAATTCATAGAAATTATGCAAATAGTCTGAACACGAAGCAACACGAAAATATTTACCAAATTCAAAAAAAAAAAAAAAAAGTAGCAACCCAAAAAATTGGTTTGTGTTAAATAAAAGATGAGCAAACAAAAAATACATACAAGTAAGTAAAAAATGAAAATAAAATATATGCAAAGAATAGAGCTAGCAGAATATGCAAAACTAAGGAGGACGAGAATTAGGTACGAAAAAAAAAAAATAATTTCCAAAAAAGTATAGAACTGGTGCAACTAACAAAAAAAAAGAAAATTAAATTAAATTAAAAGATTTGCAAAAAATCATAAATAAAAGCAAAAAAAGTGATGTTAAGGTGAAATTAGGAGGAAGTTACATTTGATGAATAAAAGTAAATAAAATAAGTCAAAAGTAAAGTTTTGCTTAGAAATATATACCAAATGAAAAAAAAAAGAGAAAAATGGACATAATTAGTAAAGTTAATGAACAGTAACATTTGGAAAAATAAAAAGAGGAAAAAAAAACATGAATAAGTACGACTAACAAAAACAATTAAAATCATACAATAATTGAAGTACAAAAAATGGAACGAATAAATTTTAGAAAATAACAAAATTGAGTAAATTAAAGAGAAATAAAATGAACAGAATTAAAAGATCACCATTTAACTTGCAATTTTTCTAAAAGTATATCATAAATATTCACAAAATTGCCTAACAAAATTTGTAAATACTCAGACTAATTTAGCTTGAGAGATTAAAGAACGAATTACATCAAAATAAATCAAAATTTACAACTCCTGTCGCGAATTCCGATTCGCGAGACTCCAACCATACCCCAAACTAGCAAGTAAATTTCTT